CAGAAAGTTTGATTCTGTTTGCTATTTTCTTTGTGTTCTTTAAGGTGACTTGTAAAAGTACAGATATCTGTGTTTAATAGTTCGAGTGGAAAAAGTAGATATAAACTCAGGAATGTATCTGTAGAAAAGGGAGGTAAATAAGAAAACCAGGAAACCATAAAAGAATCAGAGAGAGGAAATGTCAGGTGATAAAAAAAGCTGCGTTTCGCCCACAGATCAGAACAGTTGTTTGTTTCTGAGTCTTTTATTTCTCTGATTGATTTTCTGTGTTTGAACATCCTGCTGTCCAGCAGAAAAATGTGCTCTGTGCACAATTTATCATTAAAATAACTGTTTCTAACTGGTCACAATAATCCAGGAGCTGCTCTTTTTTAATTTCACAGTTAAGTTAATGTAAAAATTAAGATGAAACAGCTTTAATAATAATAATAATAATTATGAATAATTATTTCTATGTAAAGGTAATTGAGCCACCTGTGGTTTAAACTTCAGCTCCTCGTGTTTAAATGTCAAAGTGTTCTTGGATTTATTGACCCTCACACTAAACCACAGCAAGTCTTTTAGATAGTTTGTATAGTAAATAATGAGCTCAGCTGAAGCTCCTCTTTGAGTCAGGTCTGGTTAAAGTAAGTTTCTCTTTTATTAATGTTTGACTTATTACAGGTGAATAAACACACTGCCTGCTCTGTGCACACCTGTTCCCTCCCTCAGCTGAAGGTTTCCTTTTATATTTAACTTGGATGGCTTACAATATGACTTGAGTTTAAAAGGGATGTAATGACTGTTAATTAAAGCTCATTGTTGACCATTAAATCTGTGCTTTTCTTTGCCAAAAGCTTTGAAAATTCAAATTTAAACCACATAAGTTTGATGACAGTAGATGAACATGAAGACAGGAGGTCAACGAATGTAGTTATCAGAAGAGGAAGTATGGAGGAAAGGAGGCATCAGAGAGGAAGGAAGGAAGAGGAGACAGGAAGTTGAGGGAAAGGTAAAGGAAGGGCAAGAGAAAAAAAACATTTCTGGAAGCTTTTCTACAGCTATCTCACACACACACACACACACACACACACACACACACACACACA